ATTGAGCTCTTGAAACATCAGGGACCAGGTCGCTCCATTGGCTAGCCGGTAGACGGCTTCGTCGCCGGTCGGGACAAGTTTTGGGTCTGTCTCCCTTTTTCGCATCAAGACTGTAAGAGTTTATTTCAGAGCTACTTAGTGGCTAGCAATGTTTAAGCCATTTTATTTGACGCCCATAACCTGGTCACAGTTATAACCTAAAGCTCCCCCTTAGGGAATGCTGGTTGAAATGGATGATAAAAAAAAAAAAAAAAATTATGAAAAGCAAGCCAAACCAAGCAAGCTCAGTATGACATAAGAAATGTATTTCACTTACTGATCCGCACTTATAGAAGAAAAAAAGAGGTGGACTTGAGAGGTCATATCAGAATGCGAAGCTATATTTTCTTGTACTTCGAATAGTTAAAATGTTTTTTAGAGTGAGATGGCTGATCCCGCAACTAGATTATCTTCGCTGTCAGATGCAAACATAGACTCGACTTTGTCGGACATTTGTGCCAGAAAATGTAGTAAATTCACAGATTAAATTTCAGAACAGGGCATTATCAGCTGGGGACGCAAAAATGTAATAATGTAACGGATTCTGTAGCTATGAGTTGTATGTGCTACTCTTGGCTTGGTTTTGGGGGATGGAGGGGGTAATGTATGACTGCGATGTTTAGGAGTGAGTGAGTGAGTGAGTGAGTGAGCGAGTGAGTGAGTGAGTGAGTGAGTGTGTGAGTGAGTGAGTGAGTGAGTGAGTGAGTGAGTGAGTGAGTGAGTGAGTGAGTGAGTGAGTGAGTGAGTGAGTGAGTGAGTGAGTGAGTGAGTGAGTGAGTGAGTGAGTGAGTGAGTGAGTGAGGATATTTGTATATGTATGTGAGATAGTTAGATAGATAAATAGATAGACAGACAGACAGATAGATAGACATATTGATGGATGGATGAGTGGATGGATGAACTGATGGAAGGACAACGGACGGACAGACAGACAGATAGATAGACAGATAGACAGATAGACAGACAGACAGACAGACAGACAGACAGACAGACAGACAGACAGACAGACAGACAGACAGACAGACAGACAGACAGACAGACAGACAGACAGACAACAGACAGACAGACAGACAGACAGACAGACAGACAGACAGACAGACAGACAGACAGACAGACAGACAGACAGACAGACAGACAGACAGACAGACAGACAGACAGACAGACAGACAGACAGACAGACAGACAGACAGACAGACAGACAGACAGACGTCCCCGAAAACTGCGTGCTGTTATGAAGAATAACGTAATAAAGAAAAGAGAGGAACACATAATAATGAATAACATTTTTATGGGTAGTAGCGGGGAGGGGGTGGTGGGGAGGGGGTGGTGGGGAGGGGGTGGTGGGGAGTGGGGGGGATGAATAAATGTATGAATAACACAGAGCTGAGAAATGTTCGGATGGAGAAGGACAAAGAGGGAAAAAAAGGAGGAGATAGCAGAGAGTTTCTGCTGATGGATCACATTAAATATATTTTTGGCGTAACAGTTTACAGAGCTGTGAACTTGGCGAATGTGTAGTGAAAGTGCTGAAGAAAATATAAAGAAGAACATGAGAGTGAAAGGGTTTAGGACTTAAAAAGACTGTGAGACTGAAAGAAGTTTTGTCATACAGATTCATAGTCAATTAGGGACTGAGAGAGCGAGCGAGAGAGTTGGAGAGAAAGAGAGAGACAGACAGACAGACAGACAGACTTACAGTAAGAGGTTGAGAAAGAGATGGAAAATATACAGATTATGAGAAACTGAGATATTGACACAGACTTGTATATTTTAGGAGACAGAGAAAGAAAGAGACAGAGAGACAGAGTGACAGAGAGAGAGAGCGGGAGAGAGAGAGAGAGTGGAATAGACTGACAGACTGGATATATTGAGAGAGTGGGTGGGAGATAATAGAAAGATTATTAGTGATTTTGACATATTAACATGGATATGTGGACACACACAGCGAGAGAGAGAGAAAGAGAGAGAGCGGGAGAGAGAGAGAGAGAAAGAGAGAGAGAGGGAGAAAGAGAGAGAGAGAGGGAGAGAGAGAGAGAGAGCTACCGATTCAGAACGGCAGTGAAATATTAAGAGGGTAAGAGATACATGAGAGATTCAGCAAGTAACAGACTGACATAGGTAAACACACACAAACACGCACACACACACAACACACTCACACACGCAAGCAAACACACACACACACACATACACACACACAAGCAAACACACACACAAACACACACACAAATATACATATATTTGAAGGAGAATTTAAGCAATGAAAATGAAACTGAATTAGTGAAAAGATCTAGAGAAATCTAGAGTGATCAAGCGTAGCAATGATAAACCCAGAGAAACAATGAGAGAGATCAAGCGTAGCAATGATAAACCCAGAGAAACAATGAAAGAGATCGAGTGTAACGATGATAGACCCAAAGAAACAATGAGAGAGATCAAGTGTAGCAATGATAGACCCAGAGAAACAATGAGACAGATCAAGCGTAGCAATGATAGACATGGAAAAATACTGAAAGAGATTAAGTGTAACAATGATAGACACAGAGAAACAATAAGAGAGATGACGTGTAACAGTGATATACGCAGAGAAACAATGAGAGAGATCGATTGTAACAGTGATAGACGCAGAGAAACAATGAGAGAGATCAAATGTAACAATGATAGACGCAGAGAAACAATAAGAGAGATCGATTGTAACAGTGATAGACGCAGAGAAACAATAAGAGAGATCGATTGTAATAGTGATAGACGCAGAGAAACAATAAGAGAGATCGATTGTAACAGTGATAGACGCAGAGAAACAATAAGAGAGATCAAATGTAACAATGATAGACGCAGAGAAATTGATGAGAGAGATCAAGTGTAACTATGATAGACGCAGAGAAATCGTTCAGAGAGAGAGAGAGAGAGAGAGAGAGAGAGAGAGAGAGAGAGAGAGAGAGAGAGAGACCAAGACTAACTTTGATTGACGAAGTATGTTCAGGGTTATTCAGAGAGACAGAGCGAGATTGAATGAGACGAAGATTGAGTGTGAGAGACATGTCTTATAATTTCATTGTAATGGTGCTTAAGACGTGTTTACTTTTACGTTAAAAACAGTAATAAACTTTATTTTAATAGGGTCATAAATTAGGAGGTAAAACAGGCTTTGCTAACAAGAATCATAAATAACGCATGGGATTTAAAATCGAAAGGGTCGGGGGCGGGTATCAAAGTAAATGCCAAGTAAAGCCTTATCCAATATTCAGTGCATTATTCTCTCTCTCCCTCTCTCTCTCTCTCTCTCTCTCTCTCTCTCTCTCTCTCTCTCTCTCTCTCTCTCTCTCTCTTTCTCAGCAGAACGATTTGTCGCCTGCCAAGAGCGTCACACATATTACAAACTCCTTTACTCCAGCAACTAGCAATAAAATACCTCTATAAATATTTCGCCAGCGAATCGAATGGTTCAGTCAGTGATGCAAACTGGCGACCTTCGCAGCACGGGCCGAACATCTGAACCTTGTTATTGGGATCTTTTTGTCTGTCCTCTTAGAGGACAGGACATTGCTCGGGAGTAGATCGGAGCACTTATGGTCATGTCCGATGTGCGATAAAGACTTCTTAAAAAAAAAAAAAAAAAAAAAACCACTGAGCAATGAACACTTCTTTCTTTTCAGATGATAGTGTTTTCAGATGATAATTTTCTATTTACGGGGTTGGTGGGGATGGGGGTGGGGTGGGGGCTGGGAGGAGGAAAGGGGATGTCACAGCCCATGGCTATGGCGAGTGTCACTAGCAAGACCAGCTCGCAAGACTCATTTTTTTTAAAGACAAGTGCATGAGATGAGACCATTGCTGCTACTGCTCTTTTTCGCGGACACCAGCTGTAAACTCCGACGGAATGTTCTGGTGTTCATCCACAGATTGACTTTAGTCTTCTTTTAGAACCCGAGTGTTGCGTGCATATCCCCTCCCCCCCCCCCCCCCCCGCGGCCTTTGTTTTCTTTTCGCAATGCATACTATCCGTGCCATCATGTCTCCATGAATCCACCTGAGTACCTGTTTCATTCATGCCCTGCTTGGACACATTGTAAAAGCACACCCAAAATATTCTACACACCTGTAATTCACAACAGACTTTAACGCCATCGTCTAACGGCTAGACGCTCGTCTGCGGATCTAAAGGTCGTGGTTCGGTTCCTCACGAGGGTGGGATTTTATTTTAAAATGACTTTGGCTCTCAGTTCGACCCAGCCTTGAGTGGGTACCAGGTACAGTCCTGGGAAGTATAGGCGGCCGGCGTGATGCTGACCGCATCGCCCACCAAGTACCGTTTTGTCTATAAAATATAGGTCTAACCCTATATACCCAATACGTCTGAAAGGCGTGCAATAGTCGTTTTCTTCTACTTTAATGAAATCTGGACACTGCCACTCTCCATCAAATTAGCATATTCTAACCATCTGACAATCCGCAGGCACCCCTAACAGAACCCCAAAGCGCCCCCACCACCCCCCCCCCTTTTTTTTTAATGATTCAACGCTATTTACATCTCCCCTGTGTTTTCACCGTCAACAGATCAAATGTTTAAATTTCCGTGTTATATTTCAAAATGTTAAGGCTGATGAAATCTATAAGCCTTATTGAACTTAAAAAACGCACGTCTGTTTGTCTTATTGTGTGCTTATTTCAATGTTTTAATGCCATTGTTGTTGTTGTTGTTTTTGTTAGGAGAAGATGGATTGAAGTAGTGTTACTGTGTGCTTTACTGTAGTGTCACTGAGTCATTTACCAAAAAATATTGGATAAGGCTTTACTTGGCATTTACTTTGATACCCGCCCCCGCCCCACCCCAACACACACAAACACATACATACATTCACGCACTCACACACATGTATTCACCCACACCCCACGCGCACCACCGACACCACATATTATGCTAAAATGTAATGTGTGTATTCTGTGTGTGGATTCCTCAGTTCACACGAGATTCTCTTCGGGACCTGGAGCTGATCGAAGGCCGGAAGCTGGTGTTGGCGTGCGATGGGTCAAGTGGTCAAGCAGCCAGACTTCTGGGCCTCAGTGATGAGTTCGCCCAGCATTCCTGCAGAGCTTATGGTGCAGTAGCAGCCCTAGACAGACCGGATGAGTGTCAAGTCCCCATGCCGGTAGGTATGTGTTCAAATCTTGTGTTTTGTTCAGTGGGTGTGTTATGGTCGTGATTTGGTTAGCAGCTGGATTTTAATGGATTGAAGTGAAAGGTCACTTGTAAATTAAGTGGTGACCATTGTCAGGCTGGACTGCAGAACGGACTTGGTATCTGGAGGATTTAAACGCCTCTTCTCGGGGTAACGCCATCTCCGCTGCCCTGATTTACGGGACACCCTTGGTATGGTGGAGTAACTTTTTATAGCACCCCTCCCACTACCCCCACCTCACACTTTTTTCAGGGTAAGGGGATCAGACTGTGGACTAATCTTGAGAGCAACCGACCGATAGTTGTTGATCATAGCTCAAGTGCCCTGATAGTAGGCAAATGATCACAGTATATCGAGAATAGCTATGAGCACTCTATCGGTATGGTCGTTGCCAAAAAGGAAGGCACTGGCAAACTAAAAATAAAAGTAATGATCCATTTATACACCAGTAGGCGCATCGGGCATATGGGAAGAGCGCCCATACTTTTACAGACCATTCGGCACTAGCTGGGTAATGTGGTCAACATTACGCCGGCCGTCTTTACTTCCCCAGGACATATATCCTAGTACCCATTTTAGGCTGGGTCGACCTGCGACGCCCCATAGCATGAACAAAAATCCACGCGGTCAGCAGTGGGTTTCGATCGCGAGTAGGCGGGAATCATGAGTCGGACTTGCAACGCCTAATCCACGAACGCTGCCACAGGCAAACTACCTTTTCTAAACTGTCAAGAAGAGTCATAATTCACGATTTGTTATACAGATAGGCGTATTGGGCATATATAATTATACCTGTGTTATATAGACCAATCGGCAGTGGGTGTGTAATGTGTTCAGCATCACGCCAGCAACCTTTACTTTCCAGGACGTTTCCTGGTACCCACTCAGGGCTCGGTCAACCTGGGAGCTAAAGTTATTTCAAAAAAAAAAAGTTCGCCTCCGTCAGGACCCGAACCCACGACCTTCCGATTCGCAGGCGAGCGTCATGCCGCTACAAGAGTCTCACAAAAGACAAAACTACAAATATTTCTTCCTGAGTTTGTTAAAGAAGTGGTTTTAGTGGTAAAGGAAATTGTTAGTTAGGTTGATTTACTCTTAGGGTGCTTCAGATCAAGATTTGATTGATTGATTGATTGATTGATTGATTGATTGATTGATTGATGTTCACTCCCACAGGACATCACACTGATGTAACACAAAGTGCTACCATTCGAATGAGGATCACCCGTGGAGAGGTCCCAGAAACCCCGTTCAACCGTTAGGTTATATTAGGGCCCCCGGCAACAATCACAGTGGGACATCAAAATAACGAAAAATATGTCCCTCACGGGGGCGGGACAAAACAATTAATGACATTCACCAAAGTCCGAACGTCAAAGAAAACTGGCTTAGTAAACAGTAGTCTTCTTCTTCTTCGCGTTCTTCTTCTTTTTCTTCTTCTTCTTCTTCACTTCCTCTTTTACCGCTGTGGGTGTCGAGGGAGATATAAGGTTCTGTCTCTAGCTCTTCTGGCAGCCTCGACCATAGGCACATCGTGCTGTTGTAGAGTTTCTCTGATGTTATCCTTCCATCTGGTTCTTGGTCTACCCCGTGCTCTACGTCCTTCTTTTCTTTCCATGTATGCTTTGTATGGTGTCAGAAGGCATTCTCTCTAAGTGGGCAAACCATTTCGCGTTCACCAGCTGTAAACTCTGGCGGAAAGTTCTGGTTGTTTTTCCACTTCTGGGCTGCAGTAATGTTCCAGAACCTGAGTGTTGGGTGTGCATCCGTTTTATAGATCTGACTCATTTGTATGCAGACAGCTGGTTCCTTGCCTCTCAGGCAGATGCACCCCGACTTCGAAGGAAGCTCCCAGTTAGTCGACTCTTACGACATGCTTTTGGGTAGTCAGTAGGTCTGTTCTTGTTTTCCCTTTAACAGGGCTCCGAAACCCACATGGAGATAAACAATAGTGTTTTTGATTGTCTTGACCTCCGACACGATGTTCCACTTATCCTTGTCTTTTGTGTTCTCTTCTTCAGGAACGACAGATGCATAACTTACATTTCGATTTGACAGCCTATGGTTCGGAGACGGCCGAGGTGGATGGGTTCCAGGGATTTTCCTTCAAGGTTTTCGGCACATCGCGGCATAGATTCATGTCCCTATCTATACCCAAATGCGAGTCTCCTCAAGTCAAGAGCCTAAGGACCGTTTTAGACAGATCTGTAAGTTTTTGTATACATCTTTTGCCTCTTCTTCCGTTTGCCTGACATAGACTGTCTGTATCTGTAATGTTGTCTCTAGCAAGAACGTCACTGTTTGTTGTAATTCTGTCAGTGACCCGTGAAGTTTGGCTTGCACCGGTGTTTCTTTTGGCCTAAAGTTTTGCTTTTAGATGTTGTATTTGGGAAGTCTTAGAGGGTTAGTTGCGTATCCTTTACAGGACGTTGCAAAACCAACCCTAACAGCCCCTGACTGTTGTGTGGTTTCTGTAGTCAAATTTACGTCCAGTAGTTTGCCATTGCTTCCTGGACGGTCGGCTTTCTTGATACCACTGTCGAAACCAACGCAAGGGGCGTTGTCCGCAGCTGCGATCGAACCCGGCATCCCGGCATTACGAAGCGTTCGCATCGACTTAGCCACAGAGCCGACTAGTCTTGGAGGACGTGATCTATTGTCTCAGAAAAATCCACATGTACACATGGCTGATTCGCCAACCTTAAATTTTGTGTACATGTGGCAGCGAAATCGTCTCTGTCCTGTTCCAAGGCGTAGAATTGTTCTGCTCTGTCAGTTATATGGAAATCGTCGTTTTCCGGTTTTGGTGGCTTTCTGATTGATTGATTTTTTTTTGTGTATACATAATTAACTGTTCATTGTATAGTTTACCGGGGTAAATTAAATAATAATAAATACAGAATAATGATGATGATGAGAAAGAGGCTATCAAAATAATCGACATCGGTGCACATTTGAACAGACTTTCGAACAATCTCTGTGTGACTTACTGCGTATTCTATTTTTAGGGGTACACAACTTATTACTCAAAGATTACAGCAGCACCTGTGATATTACAATTTTTTAAAACATAGGTGAAAAGAACTTATCTTGTGGATACCTACTGCAATTTAATATGCTTTTCTAGAAGGTTATAACCAGAATTGATAAGAAAAATTATAAGGACAAGGGAAATCTAAGGCTACATGCTAAAATTCATGTTGATCTGTACACTAGTTTTGGAGAAAATTGTCAGTCTCAGCACGATTTTTGAAACGCATTGTTTCAATCAGCAAGAGACGCACCATAATATCGATCCCAATCGAAGTGAATGCTGCTTTTTGTAGGTACTTTAGAAGCTGAACAATCAGCTGTCTCGTTATTGTGGAGCCCTGAAAGGTCAGAGGCAAAAGAGCTACGCAAAAGTAAAGTGTGCAGTAAAATGCCATTGATTTGTGTTTATTAAGTAGTTAACCGAAGCGACGACATCGAACCGCATCTCAGCACTCGATTTTAGACAGGAGGGAGGCTGAGTGAATGTTGCTGCGGCAGCGTGGATTATTTTCGGAATCTGTATCCTACAACTCAGGGCGCTGCAACAGAGAATAAATAGGGGTGTGGTAGGGTGGGGGGTGGGGGAGCAAGGGGTAAAGTCCCTTATAATTTTCTAAAGAGCGGCGACAGGGGAGAGGCTCAAGAGGCTTAACGGTCGAGTAAAGGTTCCTTGACCTTGCCTTCAGCCTATTTGCGCATATAGAGTTAGACCTACATTTTATAGACTGAACGAAATTGGGTAGGTGATGTGGTCAGCATCACGCCAGCCGCCTTTACTTCCCGGATTGCAGCTGGTACTCACTTAAGGCTGGGTCGACCTGAAAGCCAAGGTCATTTAAAAAAAAGTTGGGCTTCTTTCAGGATCCGAATCCAGGACCCTCCGATCCGCAGAGGAGTATCTAGCCGCTCCACAGCGGTGACTCCCAAAGGGGATGGGGGCTAAAGGCTTGTTTAAATGCGCAATATTAATTTTAATAATAGTAATACTATGATGAATGGCAACTGAAAATATTAATATTTTATAATAGTATTGTATGTGTAGACAAAAGTCGGCTTCTGTGGCTTAGGTGTTGCCAACGCGCTTCGCAATGCCGTGGTGCCGGGTTCGATCCCAGCTGCGGGTCTTGCGTTGGTTTCGACAGTGGTATCGAGAAGCCGACCGACCAGAAAACAGTGGCAAACTACTGGACGTAAACACGTAAACTTGCCTAGAAAAACCATAACAGCCGAACAAATGCAGGCATTCTGCAACGTCCAGTAAAGATTACGGTGTAGTCAGATGCTTAATATGTGCAGACTTAGGGGAGACTATTTAGCACTCTTACATATTAATAATGTTGAGCGCACGGCGCAGTTCTCTGCGCACATTTTTTTTTTTTTTTTTTTTGCGGTGCCGGGGGGAGGAGTGGGTCTTATGGTACTTGAAGCCCCAAGTTTCGGCGCTCCTGCTATAACGTTGGGCTATCCTCCGAATAACGGGCACATATTATAGCGGCCAAAAACAGGGCCTCAGTTACGTGTCACTTGCGCACTTCCGGCGACCTAGTTTGCGGTTTTCCGGCGACTACATCCACCGCCGAATGTATCAATCAAGCCGCTCACGCAGGGTGGATTGGGGCTAAATTAGATGGCTGGGACTCACGAGCAGCAGCTTCCGCATCTCCTGCAGCTTTGCTCATGAGTCCCAGCCATCTAGTTTGAAGAGTATGGCTTTCTGTGGTTTGAAAATATATTTGGATGTTGAGTCCCCGTGGTAAAGTTGATTAGCTATGCTGTGTTATGTTATCACAATCGATGTCTTTGCACATTGGCCATCCCCATGCGTGCTCAGTCCTCCGATGCAGCAGCCACTCCAAGGTACCTCTACTGATTGTTCCCACGAAGAGATGGTTATAATATTTCATGTTTTTTCATCGAAGACGGTATAGTCGTGCTTTATCAAGCTCGACGACTCGGTCGCGCAGTCGTGTTAGCGTCAGAGATTCGCCATTATCCCCCAATCTAGTCCGTACAGGGTTGATGCTATCAGCTCTGTCCATGCTTCTTCCCGTTTGCATTGGTTCATTACTTGCCAGTTGGGCAGCTCTTTCATTACCATAAAGTTGAAAAAGTGGTTTGCCTCGTACTCTGAACGTAGTGGGTTTGCTTTCAGACTTCTTGGTTCGTTTAAGCTGAGATCGATCATCACATTACTCGGCTTATTCACAAAAGTGCTTATTTAGAGATTGAACAAAATATATGGGCTTTTCCCTTTTTGCTTGCCGTCTTACATCATGTTAGTCAGACCTTCAGGCAACCCCCCAGAGAGGCACAAACGGACGGACGTACGGACGGATTAATTGTTTATCTAGAGAAATTATTTTGTAACTGACAACAAAGACGCTACAGAAAAACGCTAAATACTAGCAATGATCTCTTCTGTTCGTCTTCTTGTCGTTTACCCGCTGTCAACCCCGGAGTAAGTTACATTTGTCCAGTTCTAGACCTTGGTCTCGAAGTCTGACTCGTTCATTTGTGTCACATTCCTGACTTATCTGTATGCAGACTATTGGTTCCTTCCATCTCAGGCAGATGCACTCCGACTTCAAAAGAAACGTTAAAAATTGGTCATCTCAAACGACACATTAAAGCTGGGGAACCCACACGTGGTGGAAAAAGGGGGGGGGGGGGTTGGGTAATCCCTGATATTCTAAAGATACACAATTTATTCTTTGTGCAGTTCTGCGACTTAGAGAGGTTAGTGAACACGTTTGACAAGCCTCGGTTGACCAGGATTCTATTTCCTCGCGAGTGGTTTAGGACAAGACGGTTCGCGCGGTTGTCGAACAGAAGTAGGAAAGGTGCACCGTGGAAGAGATTGACGTGTGGATTTGGCAGTCTCTGCCTGTTTATATGTTTAAGTAAATAAGTAACACGTTTTCAAAGACGGCCTAAATTCATTACAGTACCATCATCATCATCTACTCTGGCAAGCAACAACAACAACAACAACAACAACAACAACAACAGCAAATGCTGTCATACACATTTTCACGATCACGGTAATCACGGATAATGTCAGTACTCTTGTCTCGCCCCATCCCTTGGGCAAGCCATAGGATATATATCTTTTTTTTTCTTTCTTTATCAAAAACGTTCTTGATTGTCAAACCACGACATGTTTGGCAGTTGGTACCAGGCCACTGTCGCCAGATGTTAAAACCACGACATTTGTTGCTCTTTTATGAGCTGTACGACCCGTTTCATTCAAAGTCTTCTTATAATAACTTCATTTTTTAATTGTATCTTTCCTTGTCGGGTTTTGCGGTGATCTAGACGCTCGCTTGGGGATCGGAAAGTTGTGGGTTCGGGTGTTGACGGTACTGAGCCTTTTCTTTTTTTTAAATGAACTTGACTGGCAGGTCCACCCAGCCCTGACTGGGTACCAGGTGGAGTCCTGAATAGTAAAGGCGGTCGACGTGTTGCTGTCCACATCACCCACCAAGTGCTGTTGGTCTCTAGTGTTGTTAGTTGTCCCAGTACCTCATTTGCTTGTCTACATCGTGTATTGGTATATTAGTCGATTATTTATTCTGATGTGAAAATTGACCCTAGATGTATTGGCTTGTTTCCCACAGATGATGCGGAACATTTTTCTAAAATGTTTCAACACTTATAAAGCAGAGGGCGAGCCACGGTTGAGCGACTCCATCGCAGTGACGCACATGAAATTCAGTCCCCGCCTGTTTGAGGTGAAGCTGTCTCAGAGACTGGAGACGTCTGCATACTTCCAGGACAGCAATATGTTTGTGCTAGCAGAAGGCGAGGCTGCGAGATGTTATAATATTCATACTGGTAAGTTCTGGCAGTTCACATGTCTGTTTATATTGTTAGCGGGAAAGTTCATACTGTTAGTAAATTAAGTTGGGGGCTTTTTATTTCCTAGATGGTACCGAACGGTACCAACTTCTTCTGCCTTCTATAACCCCATTGGGGCATAGGTCTTTTACCAACTCACGTCAAGTGGTTCTGTCCCTCGCTATTGCATGCAGCTGACCCCATGTCCTTCCCATCTTTATCAACTTTACTCTCTAGCTCCATTCTCCATGTGTTTTTTTTTTTGGTTTTTCTTTATAACGTTTCGAACTACCAGCACCTTCTTCTGGTTACATTGTTTTCTTTACACTACTGTAACAGAAACATTGTGCTTATCGGCACTTCCTTTTAAACACTATATGTTGGGTACCGGCACCTCTTATTCAGGAAAAACGCCGTGATAGCATTATTTTTTTTTAGCAGGAAAGTTCACATAATTTTATTTTAAACTAAGCTACGAATGCCCAGAGCACTAGTAATTAGCACGTTTACACACGATTGTGAAACGTGGACATTAACAAATGAACTCGAAAAGAAGATACAAGCACTGTGGACAATTCTTGGCGTATCATACAGTGACCACATCATAAATGACGAGGTTCACCAAAGGATAAAAAAAAAAAGACTTAGAAACAGAACTTGACTGACTGGACAGGCCTAAGGCAGGCTATCATGAATCTGACCGTCAGAGAAGGATGGAGCTGGTTGGCAGTCAACAGAAAGTGGTGACCCAAAGACATGCAATATGATGTTCTGAGAGAGTTTAAAAATGAGGACAAAAGACAGAGCGTGTTGGAGTTCCATTGCAGCAAATCTTCACGTGATTGATTGTTGGTAATGAAACTAATACTTGGAGCCATGGTAGCGCAGCAGCTAGACGCCAGCCAACCGATCTGAAGGTTTTAAATTCAAATCCTTGGGATTTAGGGAGGGAAACATCATTTGCTCAAGATCGACCCAGCCTAAGATGAGTTCCCAGTAAAATCCTAGGAAGTAAAGGCGGCCGACTTGAATTTGACCACATAAATTGTCAAGGGATGATTGGTCCATACAAACATGAGTGTACTCTCGTTACCCCATTTGACACTCGTGTGAAAATGGGCCCTATTATTGTATTATTAAGTTGTTGTTGTTTCTCAGTCAGTCAGTCAGTCATTCAGTCAGTCAGTCAGTAGCCTGTCGTTTGCAGAACACGGTACCCATAACAATCCTCTGGAAAACTTCTTTATCACAAGCAAGATTCCCCGCGTCTGATACACCCATCTGGAGATCATTCGCCACATCCTGCACCCATCTTCTCTTTGGCTTTCGTCTTCCTCTCTTCCCAGGCATATACCCCTCCATTATTGTTCTCTCTAAACTTTCGTGACTTTTCAAGTGACCAAAATATTTTAATTGTAAGGGGGTCGGGGGGTGGGTGGGGGGGGGGGCGGAAAGAAACAAAAAAAGAGGGGGGGGGGGGTTGTTAATCGTCTTAATAACCAACCTACTTCAGTATTCAATTCTTGAAGTACGGATGCATTTGTTGTTTTCTTTACCCGTAATTTTCGTAGAACCCGTCTAAAACAGTTGTATTCAAATGTTGTTTGTAAACAGAGTTAATATTGTTAGCGGACAAGCTCATTTTGTTAGCGGGTCAGTTTTTGTTGTTGATATGCAATTCCATATATCGTATTGTTGGTTGGCAGGTTAATATTGTTAGTGGGTAAGTATATTGTTTGCGGGTAAGTTTATATTGTTAATGGGTACGTTTATATTGTTGGTAAGTTAATATTGTTAGCGGGTAAGTTCTTTTTTTTTCCCTCCAGATAAGTTCATATTATTGGTGGGGAAGTTCGTGGGCAAGTTAATTTTTGTTAGTAGGTAAGTTGGTATTATTAGTGGGCTAATTCAAATTGTTAGTTTCAAAGTTAATATGTTTAGTGGGTGAGGTCATATCGTTTGTTTGCGCGTTCATTATAATATTGGGTAAGTTTATATTACAGTCATGGATTTCTACACTAGTCTTACATGTTGCTCTCTGTTGTGTTGTTTTATGTTATAATCATTGACGTCGCTGAACTCTGAGCTTTCCAGTGGGTGCTCAGTCTTCTGATGCAGTTGCGACTCCAAGGTACTTCTGTTTATTATCCCCATGATAAATTGGTTCTATTATTTTTTCGTGATAATGAAGACAGCATGTATGTGCTTCTTCAGGATTTATTCTGAGATCACGAAACTGTTTTTTTTTTTCCCCCATCTCGTCATCCCCTTGTGGGATGCAATTTTTAGCTATTTCGAAGCCCCAGTCTGGCTTTTGCCGGGGGCCCTAAATATAGCCGGGCCTGAAATATGGTTTAACGGCTGAAAGGGGTTTCTGAGACCTCTCCACTGGTGATACTCATCCGCATGGAGGCACCTTGTGTCACCGGGTGTTTATCGCTTGTGTGATGTCCTGGTGGGGTACAATTACCTACCTACGTACCTTCCTACCTACAGAAACTGTGTTAGCATCAGAGATTAACACACGCACACACACTCACACTGTAGCCATCATGAATTCGCAAAATTAACTGCATTTTAATTTCTTTAGCCATCTCCTCTATTTTAAGTTTAAACTCTTATTTCGTCCTCTGCAGGAATGGACGTGAATGTGGGAATCAAGGGCTTGATGAGTCTGTCCAACTTTATCTCTGTGGTCTGTGTAGCAGACAGTGAGCATGCAATCCTTAAAGCCCTGATGCAGAAAAACAAAGATGCCGACAGAATCTGCAGGGACTTCATCAAAAGCGGATTGGTGGAGTATCGTATGTTGAAAGTCTGTAAATGAGTTACATTGTATTGGTGGAGTATCGTATGTTGAAAGTCTGTAAATGAGTTATTGGTGGAGTATCCTATACTGAAAGTCTGTAAGTGAATTATATTGTATTGGTGAAGTATCGTATGTTGAAAGTCTGTAAATGAATTACACTGTATTGGTGGAGTATCCTATACTGAAAGTCTGTAAGTGAATTATATTGTATTGGTGGAGTATCGTATGTTGAAAGTCTGTAAATGAATTACATGATACTGGTGGAGTATCATATGTTGAGAGTCTGTAAATGAATAAATTATACTGGTGGAATAATTATGAAAGTATGTAAATGAATGATTTTGTATTGGTGTATGTTGAAAGTTTGCCAATAAATTTTTAAACACATTTTAAAGACCAAATTTCAGTAAAAGTTACTAGATGTGGTGTTTATAAAATTTGTGTGACAATATCTATGAAAGGAAATAGGTTTTAAGTTTAATTAAAATGTAACATATGTTTATTATATTTTGTTTTCAAAGTAAAATTAAACCTAGAGCTCTTGCCTGCTAAGACAATGGGTTCAATCCCCAGTGGAGGCAATATTTTCAAGAGGACTGACAAAGAAGACATTGGGGGTAGAGGGGGAAGTGCTCAGCATCCTAAGAGATTTTCTGGAAAGGGGGGGGTAGGCGGTTCATGGGCTTGCTTAAGTGTATAATATTATTATTTATTATGATGATCTTTATTATTATTATAATGTGCTAAATGGCCCAAAAAATCTTGTTCTTCTTCTTCGCGTTCACCAGCTGTTAACTCTGGCAGAAAGTTATGGTTGTTCATTCACTTCTGGACTGCAGTCCTGTTCCAGAACCTGAGTGTTGCGTGTGCATCCGTTTAACAGATCTGACTTATTTGTATGCAGACCGCTGGTTCCTTGTCTCCCAGGCAGATGCACTCCAACTTTGAAGAAAGCTCCCACTTAGTCCAATCTTACGACATGCTTTTGGGTAGGTAGTCGTTCGCTTCTTGTTTTCCCTATAACAAGGCCCCCGAACCCACATGGGGGAGGCTAAAAAATGAAGTAATATTTTTGAATTAATATCGAATATACGAACAAATACTTGCAAGAGAACTTCTAGACAAGGTTTGGGAGGCAAGGAGAGTGGATGAGATGTGCCTTCTTAGCCTCTTTACAAATTTTATGGGCGAAGGGAAAAAAAAAAAGGGGGGGGGGGGGAGCTTAACCATTGAACTGGGAAGTTGTCTCAGGGGGGAAGTTGTCTCAGCACCTAGTTTTTTGTATCCCTGATCAGTAGGGCTGGAGCTGGTTGAGCTAACTCCTTAAAAAGCTGGTCCCAGGCAATGTTCTGAATTTTTCTTGGACCTGTCGTGGCAAGCCAGTTTGTGAAGTAGGGAACTGGTTACCTAACTTCGTATGTCATGGCCTAGAATATGTGAAGGCATAACACTTCACATACCAATGAACATATTTGCTATGTGATTATCTGCTTGAAAGATATGTAGCACTGTGTGAAAAACTTAGGCAGAACCATGGACAAGCAAGCCAGAGAAGGCAAATGTAGTCCTAAAGGTACCAGAGATCACTTCAAAAGATGCCCAGACGGAGACACAACAGAGAACCCTGGTTCTTTCTATGCTTGATGAGAAGTATCCCAAAACAACTTGGACCCAGGTTTTCACCGACGGCTCTGCTATAGATGCAGTCAGAAAGGGGAGTTGTGGAATATACATTAAACACCCTAGCAGTAGAGCAGAAACTCTCTCTCTACCAGCAGGTGACATCTGCACTAACTTCAGAGCTGAGGCAACTGCCCTCATTTCTGCAGTCCAACATCTCATCAGTCAAGAACACAGAGGGCACAAAATTGTTATACTTAGTGACTCATTGTCTGTTCTCCAAGCACTATCAAGCAAAAAACAAGACAAACTAATTGCAGATCTAAGGACCAATATTGGCTTACTCTCCAAGGAAGCAGAACTGGTCTTGCAGTGGATACCAGCCGACTGTGGTATTCAAGGAAATGAGAGAGCAGATGAGTTGGCAAAAGCTGGGAGTAATCTTCCACAACCTCATCCACCACACAGCTACAAGGAAACCAAAACAGCGTTAAAGCAGTCTTTCCAGCTGGAGTGGAGAAGGCAGAATGTAGATTACAGACTAGAGAGTGACAGCATAAACAAACTCAACAGAAAGAACAAACAACAATTTTTAGACTTCGGACTGGACACTATGGCCTTTGTGCACACCTGTACAGAATAGGCATAAAAGAATCTGCTACCTGTGATTGTGGAGCAGAAAGACAGACCCCTGGGCACATATTACAGTACTGCCCTTACCTCTCCCAGCAAAGACTGTGGATCTGGCCCAAGGGAGCCACATTGAAAGAGAAGCTATGGGGGACCTGTGGCGACCTTAAACGCACAATCCTATTTTTGACCCAGACGGGACAATGTTTAGCATGACTGATGTCGAACGCAGATGAAGAAGAAACCATGTGATTACTTTTACTTTTAAATGTCTAAAGACTGAACATACACATTAATTATGTTCTTAAAGAGCCCCTGCCTGAATTACTCAAAGAGCCTCTGCTTGAACCACTCAAAGAGCCCCTGCCTGAACCACTCAAAGAGCCCCTGCCTGAACCACTCAAAACACTCCCTGCCTGAACCACTCAAAACACTCCCTACCTGAACCACTCAAAGAGCCCCTGCCTGAACCACTCAAAGAGCCCCTGCCTGAACCACTCAAAGAGCCCCTGCCTGAACCACTCAAAACACTCCCTGCCTGAACCACTCAAAGAGCCCCTGCCTGAACCACTCAAAGAGCCCCTGCCTGAACCACTCAAAACACCCCCTGCCTGAACCACTCAAAACACCCCCTGCCTGAACCACTCAAAGAGCCCCTGCCTGAACCACTCAAAACACCCCCTGCCTGAACCACTCAAAGAGCCCCTGCCTGAACCACTCAAAACACCCCCTGTCTGAACCATATTATGGACAGACCAGAGCAAGTTATTATCCTTCACCTTAGAACAGGGCACAATAGACTTCGCTCCCACATGTACAACAAATTTAAGATTGGCCAATCGGCCATGTGTACTTGTGGACTGGCACCTGAAACAACAGATCACATCCTTCAAGACTGTCCCATATTCAACGCTTTCAGACAAAACATTTGGCCAAAAGAGACACTTGTGGAAGTCAAACTTTACGGGCCGCTTAGTGAATTACAAAAGACAGTGAAATTCATACAAGAGACGGCTTTGCAGATATAGACAATTTATTTCATGCGAACGAAAGAAGAAGAAGAAGAATGAATCACTCAAAACACCCCCTGCCTGAACCGCTCTAAGAGCCCCTGCCTGAACCACTCAAAACACCCCCTGTCTGAACCACTCTAAGAGCCCCTGCCTGAACCACTCTAAGAGCCCCTGCCTGAACCACTCTAAGAGCCCCTGCCTGAACCACTCTAAGAGCCCCTGCCTGAACCACTCTAAGAGCCCCTGCCTGAACCACTCTAAGAGCCCCTGCCTGAACCACTCTAAGAGCCCCTGCCTGAAACACAAAAGTGGTAAATATAGGCAATAAGTGTCAGTTTTTGGCAGTTTTGGCTCACAGAAAGAAGTAGAGAGTGCTGATCAATATATTGTCACTCTGTTTGCTATATATTGAGAGAATTATTATTTTATTCCAGTTACAATACCTTCTGGCTACAAAATATAAATGAATTTACTTGGTAAAAACTTAGGCAAGCAAAATATTTTGGTAATCTGGGAAGTTACTGACTGTAAACTATTTTAATATGTAGGAAGTACTTCTATATTGTTCATAAAAAGAAATGCATATATAGTTGAAAGGAATGCCTGTATGCCTACAAACTGTAAATGACCCAAATGCAAAAAAAAAAAAAAAAAATGTCAACTAATTGGTTTAACCCTACTGTGTTTTTGTGTGCTACTTGACCAGTTTCACTCATTAAATTACACATGTTCACTCATTACTTTGCAAAGATTTTGAATGTAAAAATTATGACAGAATTATGTTTCTTTCAGTGGCTATGTATTTCCTTTTTTTTAAAAAATATATTTTTGCTGTTGTTTTGTTGGAATAGTATACATTTTGAAATACCTACAAGTTCAAATGGTATTTAAGCACTCAAAAAAATGTATATATTATGTGGAAAAAAAGTGATAAACTTGGTGAACATGAAAAATAAATGTGAAATCTTGTTCTTTTTTTTTCCTAGCAATTCCTTGTTTTTTTAAAGTAACCAGTGTATATGAAATCCATGATCAATTATCTCATAGGACCAATCTTTTATGATCAGATTTCCTTTGAGGAGATTGTTTTCTTGAGCTTTTTAAAATTGTTTGTAAGATCTTTTTTCTTCATTTTCTTTTGAATTAAATATTTTTTTTTTTTAAGCTAAAAAAGTAATAAATTTTCACAAAACAAAACAATTTGTGTGGCTTTTGGGACAGTGGTTGAAGAGTTGTACAGTGGAAGAGATTTGGGAGCCCAACCAAATAATTTTTCCAAATTAGGAGTGAATGCAGACATCCATTGCAAACAACTTCCACTGTGCAGTTGGCACACATTATTTACCAAATTAAACATTGGAATTCCTGGATAATCTTTACTGTTTAAAAAAAAAAAGAGAGGCATAGTTATCCCATGGCCTATTTTTATTAGTTTGTTAATAAAATATCGTACTCGGGTATGTGAAAAGCAGACTCAAATGTTGTTTACCGTGTCCAGTGGACATGTGGGCGTGAATTGCGTGGGTTTTTGTAATTATTACAAAGCAGTTGTCGATTGTTTTTAAGACCACAGTTGAGAGCATAGCTCACGATGCATGCATGAGAAAGCAACACAATTTGCAGTGAATACTATTTACTGCCTACGTAATTGACACCCTATAAAAAGATAACGCTACACAAAAACGATCAGTTCATTTTCAAGCAGTCATGAATGGCGCCTCCATCGATAAATTTAAGGAATATCACTATTGGCCG